GGTTACACTCCCACAAGAACAACACCACCTCTGGCCTGACAGAACAAACCTCAGATACAAGAAAACTCTTGTGTTCAGTTTATACTACAAATCAAGCATAGTGAAAAACTTACAAAATATAATTACATTGTTTTCAATAATTTTTTCAAACAAGAAAGCGTGATTTGCAAAAATAAGATAAAGCCATCTATCCTCCACAAGTGAGAGTAACTATAGCTACTGTGGATGCTATTATAAAATGTGGACTGTTGCCCCCAAAATAATCCGCGTTTTCTACAATTAATTTTATAGATGTCCCAAAAAAAGAAGGCAACCCCTAAACCTAACATTTACGCGGCCTAATATAGTGTATTAAAGTAGCCTAAGCGAGGTTAGGTATATGGTTAGTCTTTTTCACATTTTGTTACGCACTTTAGAATTCCAATAGTACAAAACATGAACTTCTATGGGTAGACTGGTCAGTATAAGGAAAGACTCAAGAGCTGCCGGACTAAATAAATTATTCTTATTCTAATTATCAATTATCATCATTCGCAGTCAGTCAGGAATAGAGGTGACCTGGTCAGGGGTCAAGAAGGATAAGAGGACAGGACCCAGGATAACAGCCTCATTAGACGTTGAGATGTAAGTCTGGTCCTAATCACACACTCAGACCTTGACAGACATAAGCGTCCCACAAATCACTTTGAGAACCGAAAGTAACCAGAACGCTTCCCAGCAGACCAAATGGTGATGAGTCTGCCAGGTGGGGAGCAGACTGGGTCCAACACAAGGTCAGGATGGACGCAGACAGCACAGCATTGGGCAGTCCAGTTCCACTCCCACACCAGACGCTACCCGCCTCACTAGAGCAGCCAGCCACGCCTGCCCTCATTCCAGCTCCTCACTCTCACCCTTGTTCCCAGCTCTGCTCTCACCCATGTTCCAGCTCTGCTTTCTCACTCCATGTTCCAGCTCTGCTCTCTCACCCATGTTCCAGCTCCTCACTCTCACCCATGTTCCAGCTCTGCTCTCACCCATGTTCCAGCTCTGCTCTCTCACCCATGTTCCAGCTCCTCACTCTCACCCATGTTCCAGCTCCTCACACTCACCCATGTTCCAGCACCTCACTCACCCATGTTCCAGCTCTGCTCTCTCACCCATGTTCCAGCTCCTCACTCTCACCCATGTTCCAGCTCCTCACTCTCACCCATGTTCCAGCTCCTCACTCTCATCCATGTTCCAGCTCCTCACTCTCATCCATGTTCCAGCTCCTCACTCTCACCTATGTTCCAGCTCTCCAACCCAGGAGAGTTGGATAGATAAAAAATGCATAACAAGGCCTTAAGGATTATTCTTGAGTCCCCTGTACCACAAAGATGCTTAATATTCCGAGCATCATTGATCATGTTACTGAAATTAATTTTCTGATTGGTATAAAGATGATAAGGGCATCTCATCCTAACTCTTCATCCAAAGCCCTCCAGGCCTTCTTTATTGAATGTGAACATTTTAAAAAATGGATTACTAAAATTACAACTGCAATCATAATGTATCAGATTTACAATTTGCACCAAGATAGACAACAACACCAGCACTTTTCTGTACTGTGGAAGATCACTCTTTTTGAAATCTTAATCCCTCCCTTTCCTCCCAAGAATCAAATTCAAGATCAGTCAAGCTTTGTCTTGAGATAAAGCTCAATGCCTTAAGCCATATTGATACTCTACTCACTGAGTATATACACTGATGGTTTCCTACACTGCCCCACTGATGCAGCTGGAAGTACAGTTGTCCTGATAATGAGTGATATTTTGAGTGGGGAGTCTGTACAAACAACTGGGCCTCTACCCATCAGACCGAATTGTTTGTCATAATTCTTACACTCAAATGTAATTACCTAAGTATAGTTATAGGGTGAGAGCCAACTTTGTTTGGTTAGTTTAAATCTATGACCTCTTGTTTTTGAGGTTCCGGGTCTCAGTCATTTTTCCCTATCTATTTTATTGATTCTCGTAACTATTTTGTATGTAGTGATTACATTGCCTCGTTTTCTTCTATCTTCTAGTTTTGGCATATTTAATGCTTCTAACCTCTCCTTATAGCTCTTGTCCTTCAGTTCAGAACTAAATGGTGCTGGAAGCCATTTAGCTGCATGTCTTTGCACCTTTTCCAGTTTGTTGATGTGCTTCTTATGATATGGGCACTGTACAACAAATGTGTACATTTCTCCAAACCTGAAACATTAATTTACCTGAATTTATCTGAGGGCCACTAACACTACTGGCTTCTATGAGGACAGGAAACTGACAGCTTGTCTTAAGGTCCCTCCAGTTGCCTTGATGATCATTTCCAGTTGGATTTTAAAATTTAACAGTTTTGGCACTTATGGCTTTGGTGGGTAGGCAGTTCCATGGGTTTATAACCCTGTGGGTGAAAAAGCATCTCCTGTTCTCAGTCCTACATTGTGGCTTGTTGAGCTTGAAACTGTTGCTCCTTATTTGTGTTACATCTGACCTTCTGAACAATATTCCCCAATTTGTTAGGTATTTTAAAAGTTTTGATGAGATCAGTCCTGTCATCTCTGGTTTGCACTGTTAGCCTTGTGGCCCTCAACCATTTCTGGTATGAGGGTCAACTTAGTTCAGGTATGATTTCTGTTGCCCAGTGTTGAACTTTCGCCAAAGAGGATATGTCTTTGAAGATCAGGTCTCTAGCTTGAATACAATAATCCAAGTAGGTGTGCACCAGAGATTTGTACAAGCTACTTCTCCTTGAAGTCAAAGTTTCGTTTGACTATTCCTAGAATTTAGTTTGCTTTTTATACTGCAACTCCCATTGTTGTGCAACTTTTAGTGATTGGTGTATTCTGACTCCAAGAACATGTAACGTATACAATCTTGAGTGACAACATTCAATCAAAGCGTATAGTGGTTTTATGTTTATTTAATATAGTCTTGGTTGGTTACAGCAGTCAGATGTTGGAAATGAAATGACATTTCATAATACAAGTAGGTTGAGATAAGGATGCTTGTTATGTGCTGTTTTGCAGAGTCAAATAGGATGTAGTGCTGATGGTGGTTGGAGATAGAGCTTGTGCAAGACCTGGAGCTGAGAGCAGAGAGCTTGAACAAGGCCAGGAGCTAGAGAGCTCGAAGAAGGGTGAGAGAGTAAAGCTCGAATGCAGGGCAAGAGGGTAGCTTGAATAAGACCATAAAGTTTATTGTTGGGCATGACTTCTGTTTTAAAATTATAAAAATGTATGGAATACTTGTAAATATAATGTACCGGTACTATATAATGCATTATAATACTTATAGTATTGTATATTTGTGAAATACAGTGTATACTGAATTATTGCATGATTTTCAGAGCAAGCCAGAATCTTAAAGCAAATTTACTAATCATATTGCTCTGAAATCAAAAGAATATCACAGAACTGTGTTTAAAATGGTAATTTGCAATGATATTTTATGTTACTACTTCCTATTTTATATGTTAAATGAATTACTAATTTTGTGTGTTAATATTCACATTTCAAAGCTCTTCAAGTTCAAGTTCAAGTATGTTTATTGAGACAAGAAAAAATACATCTCAAAGGGATAGAGTAGCTTAGGCTATTTCTACCCCCCCTCAAAGCTCTTAACAATACTGGGGCACATATATTAAGCATGGATTGGGGTAGTGTTGGTTAGATTCTCTATGGCCTCCTAGAGTCTCTACAAAAAGGTGGTGGTATTCAATGACATGGGAATAGGCACCAGAGTGAGGAGGAACCCAGGAAGCAAGAGGCCATACCTATATGTAAGATTTGCTGCTGAGAATCCAGTCTTCCTTCATTGCTAACTGGATATTGAAAAGGATTGGGCCAGAGTGTACAGTATTTACCTGAATTTACCTATGGGCCACCATCTCTCTAATGGCCTTGATGGAGACAGGAAGCCATCAGCTTGTCAAAAGCACCCCTCCCACATTGTTTCTGAAGATTTGAGCTGAATTAGTATCTTGGCATTTACAGTTTTGGTAGGTAGGCAGTTTCAGTTGTTTATAACTGCTAACCACATTAACATCGGAAGTAAACATTTCATTTACTTGGGCCACTGGAGCCTTGAACACAGGACCATAAAAATGTTATCCAATAGCTCTATCCACTGGCTTAAAATATGTTGGATATCAATTGCTCATCACCGAGATCCTTTCTTATTGAGTGTGTTCAATAGTGCAGTGGGTAGAGCTATGGGCTACCACTTTTGTAGTCCTGTATTCAAGGCTCCGATGGCCTAAGAGAAATTATGTTATAATGAAAGGGTACTCCCTTTCCAAACACTAACACCTCTCCTCCTCACCATCTTCCATAAGCCAACAAGAGTCATCAATAGAGGTAAGCTATAACTTGTACATATTATAGTACAAAATATTTGTGTGTATAATGTATGAAATGTATTTTGAAGTTAATATTTTTGGTAGCGTGGAACGGATTAATTCAATTTACATTATTTCTTATGGGAAAATTCGTTTCAGTTTGTGAATTTTTGGTTTACAAGCCATATGTATAGGAACGTATTAAATTTTAAAACCAAGGTACCACTGTATATTTATATATACTGTATGCTCTATATATATATATATATATATATATATATATATATATATTATACACACACATATAAATTCTGTACAGCTTATAATAATGCCATCTTAACAGGGAGTCATTTCTTAGTAACTATTACAGTATATACAATATATACAGTACAGGTATGTTCATTCTACTACTTATAAGGAGGTAGTTTTAGAACCAGATAATATCAAACCACAAAACTTTTTTTTTAATAAAATTTATTATCTTAGTAGTTTCGTCAACTCATAAATACAGCAGAAGATAACAGAGGGGGTAATGAGGCATGGTCACATTAGGATAACAATGGGTACTGGGGCATGGTTGCAGTATGACAACAGAGGGTGCCAAGGCATGAGAACAGTAGAATAACAGATGTGTGGTCACAAGAGGATAACAAGATGATTAGGTATGATGATCATGGTATGATAATAGAGGGCACAGAAGCATCACAACAGTAGGAAAATAGATGCTGTGGCATAGAAATAATAGGATAATAGAAGAAGCTGGGGCATGATAACAGTACGGTAATAAAGGGTACAGGGGCAGGAAAACAGTAAGATAATAAGAGGGTGCTTGGCATGGGCTTGGGTCAATAGAATAAGAGATATGTAGCTTTGGTAAGATAAATGAAGGTATTGGGGGAGTAGCCATAGAAGGATAACTTAGGGTTATCCTTAGGGTGTACATGGTCACAGTCGAATAAGCCCAACAGGCGCATTGTTGCCAACTGAGGGAAGAGCGATGCCTGGCAACACTGGTATGCTCAGCGGGCCATTGGTAGATGACACAAAGCATTAGTTGCTGTAAGGTCATTTATACAAGTATTGCTAAAATTTGTATATTAATACCATACAGCAGGCGAGCATCTCCTTCCAAGGACTCTCTGAGGTCAGATCACACCAACAGGCTCCACATCCACCCTATCATTGCTAAGCACATCATTACTCAAGTACTTGTAAATATGAATAGTTTTAGCAATATCTAGTGAACCGTATCATTTTAAAGAGTATCTGGATAAAATATGAATAAACAATGAAATTACTGTACCTGTGCAAATGTGATGCTTTCTTGGGAAATATGCCTTTGCTGCAAAATACCTAAATCATTTGGGAAGGTCAGATGATAAAAACTTCCTGGTGTGTGTGTGTATAATTACCTAAGTGTAGTTACAGGATGAGAACTACACTCGTAGTGTCTCGTCTTCCCAGTACTCTGTCGTATAATGCTGTGTGTGTGTTTGTGCGATAAATGCAAAATGTATTTTTAGCTTGTGTCTGACCACAAGGATTATGTGTGTACACTTCTTAAACATTCTGCAGATAACTACCAACATACTACAAAAGTAACCATTATGCCACAATGTAACAGTATAGGAAAAGAGAACTAAAATTATTTTGCACTTTTTCAATGCAAAATCAAGGTTGCAATATGCTGAGTCCTTGATTAAATAAATACATAAATATATATTATATATATATACTAGTATGTATACATATATTATATATTTATTTACATAAGTAAAGAATCTCTATGAGAGATAAAATGTAAAAAAAAAGGAAAAAAGAGCATTAAAGAGTGGTGTGGTGGATGTTGTGCGTGCGACCTGTGAGGGATGAGGTCAGTGAGTGTTATAACTTTATCTCGGTTGCTCCGCACAGCTTCACTCTTGCTCTAAACCACTGGAAAACACGGCAGAGCGATAGCAACTTTTAAGTGATACAGTCAGTGATCTCATAAACTACTGTACATTACAATTGATAATACATTATTATATTTATTTATCAGTAATTCAATATACATCACTAAGAAAATAAAATTTCACATAATTTCTCTGTAACAAATCTGCAGCATCATCACAGACCTGCACATTTTTCTCAGACATTTTTATATGCTCCCTCTAGTAAAAAATATATAACATAAATTTGCATCCTGGCAGGTTGGCAAAGCACATAAATATATGTAAAATTATTTTAACAAAATACAGCAGTTTAAATAATTATAAGCACAATGTGAAAGTAGATATACTTAGGCTGACCAGCACAGTTTTAACCTGATTTATGACAGGTCATGTTTTTATTATAAGTAAGGTACATTCCTTGCTAAGGCAAGAATATGAGAAAACATGGTAACCAAATGTGTAGCTTCTGATAGTAAAATGATTTTTAATCTCAAATCTATGAATTCAGATGAAAAGTTACAATTGAATTATATTCAGAGAAAGAAAGTGAAATAATATCCAGTTATGAAATTTATTTGTGACTGCCATATTTTGTCTTAGATTATTGAATATATACAACAGGTACTGAAATAGTGTACTTATAATATATTCAGTATTGCATGTAAATGAATGATAGCCTATACTCAAAACTTTTCTTTCATAGTGACAAGCTAGCAATGGTTTGTTTTGCTAAAATAAATAAAATGCCTACATGCCAAGATGTCTATCGATGGTTGAATTTACACTTGTTAGAGCCTCAATATGGAACAAAGATGAGCTTTCATCATTCTCACTTTTCCCCTATGTTATGTGATGGCGCGTATAATTACATCCAACAAGCCAGGTTCTGTGTTGCTCATCTTGCATAAACAAGGTCGCTAACAAAATAAATGTCACCATCTCTCTGGAGTATGACTAGTAAAATTCTATTTCACCCAACTGTTCAACGTAGCTCACAGTGCTGCATTTCCTTTCACAAATACTTAAGTGTCTTATTTTCTTTCACTCACGTTTCAGGAATTATAAATATACAGTATTATTTTTAGCATTACTTTATCATCAAATATTTATCTCTTTTATAACATGACTGATGTGAGGAAACATTATGCATTATCCATGACATGAAAAAAACAAGTCACTCAAGTGGTAGCCATTTGTGTTGGAATGTCCTGATGGTTTGGTAAAAGTAGAATATCTGATGTTATCCCATAGATATCATTTAATTATATTCCACCTTTGCAGTGAAGACTGAAAGATCAGTTATCTTCTGCAATGAGTTTCTATCTCCTTTTGTAAACAATGTTAAGCAAAGTGTGCCAATGTGTAAACACAAACACTTCTGTTCTTTCCCTTGAGTGACCATCGCAAGAGTTGCTTCACTATCACGCTCAACAAAACACCGACTCCAAAAAAATCTCTGCCCGAGGCAAACACTTCGTTGTGGGAAAGAAGAATTGAGTTTATTATCACTAAGCACTGATGTGTTATATCACATGGTCTGTCATTTACTAAGGCAGGCATAATTAGGGTTAATGTATGCAGTGGCAGTTGGATTGGAATTTTCTGATAGTCATAATAATAAATAGAAAACTTATGGAGATTGAGAGGAAGTTAAGTTTAATACTTGCAGGGAAGAAATGCAAAATTTCATTATGCACATGTATACTGCTCTGTAGCATCTGTATGTATACTGTATGTACATTCAGCAAGCAATCTTGCTAAACCATGAGGCTAATAAGAAATGCAGCTCTAGTACATTCAGTACCTTGTTAATTAAAGTACAATTAGGAAACATGACAAAAGTTAGAAAATACATTTGTGTCTAATTATAATCTTTGATAGATGGCATACATTGAGTCTCTGACACATTCATGGACGTCACGCTACACCCATAACTATACCTTTCAAGTCACTTTAGTAAGTTTGTCTTAGTGGTTCAAGAGGTTCAGATCTAACTGAACTTTGGCACTGTGAACCTTCTTGCTTGGATATGCTTCTTAGTGCCACAAGTGGCTGCTAAATCTTGAGGGATTAACCAAGAATTTCTGGTATACTGTATGTGAATCTTACATATGCTTATTAATTTTAAATTTTAGCATTTTACTTTATATTTACTTATCATACTCAATAACTTGTCAAGCATGTCATGAAATCAGCAAAGCAATTTAGAAAAAAGCATTATTCATACCTTATAAGATTAAGTTATCTTAAGATTTAATGATGCTATTTATCTGCATTTATGTTACACACATAAAACTCATAGTATATCCCTCACAGAAGTCTGAACTGTATTCTCTCTCCATATTTCACTATGGATAGTACTGATCATTCATCCCAGACTTTAAATAATGTTTTGGGAATAATCATCCCACCTGGGTCATCCAGTCAACACCTTCCAAAATGTCACTGAAAATGTCCACAGGAATAGGTCAATCGGGTTCATTCTCTCACGAGAAGCTCCAAAAATTAATTATCACATCTTTAATTCTCCTGAGCCTCATACTTGCCAGAGTAGCAAGTGGTTGGTGGAGTCATCACGACCTGCCAACTCTGACATTCCGGAACTTCGAAAGTCTTCATAACCATCACCACCAGATATTACTAATAGCTTAGCAGGGGCTGCAGTTCCTGGCTGAAAAAAATACCAAATGTTTATTATACATTGAGCATATACATTGGGGAGGTAGGGGGATGGGTGCTTGGGGGGTGTAGGTTTGTGATGGGTGGGTGAGTGGCTGGGTGTGTGTGTGATACACTCCCACCAGTGGCCTCAAGTCCTCAATGACCCACGCTCACATGATTTGATCGTGTTTACTGTGTTGGTGAGATGAGGCCCTAGGCTGGAGATAGGAGGAGGGTGAGGAGGCATTTACTCCTGAGGCAAAAGGCCAATTACAAAATGGTGGACCACCAATACAGTGAACGTGTATTTTCATTTATTTATTCATATTATTATACCACTTCACTCTTCAAAAACAGCTAACTTTGACAAGTGGGATAACTCCATCATTCAAGGTAAATATTGTTGTAGTTTTTTATATTATATGTCCCAAAAATATTGGTTTTGTGAGGATTTTTGGTGGCCTGGGAACACGTCTCCCACTTATAGCATTGCGCCTTTGGAAAATCTCGATCCTTGTTCCGAACAAATGCTTTACAAACACAGTCTCAGAACGTAACTTGTTTCTTAATTGGGGAGCTGCCTGTACTTAGTTTCTCTTTTAAACTGGTTGAGAGAGGTACAGTGTTTGATGTGACTAGGAAGGTCATTCCACATTTTGGGACCCTTGATTTGCAAAGCATTTCTACTTTGGTCAAATTGCATTCTTGGAATATCAGATAGATATTTGTTTTTAGTGTGGTGGCCATGGGTTTAGTTACAGTCCTCTAGGAGGCATTTAAGGTTGAGATTAACATTGCAGTTCAGAATTTTATGTGTACTGTATAGAGTACACTTGAGGAGATGTCTTTTTCCTTCTACCTTGTCATGCTTTAACGCTTCCAACGTCTGCTTGTAGCTCATATTCTCAAGTTCCAGGAGCCATTTTTACTAGTGCATCCTTACACCTATTCTAATTTGTTTATGTGCTTCTTGAGATCTAGATATTTAGATAGGAGGGGGGGGGACATAAAAAGCTAGATCTCTCTTCTCCATAGTCACTGATAAGTAAGCACTAATAGGTTAGCACCACACCACTGCTGTATATTCCAGTTCTGGTCTCACAAATTGTGTGAACAGTTTCTTTAATATTTCTCTGTCATATACTTAAACACAGTTTTGAAATTTGCTTGTGTAGCGAAGACTTCTTTAACAATGCCCGTTATGTGGCCCTCTGGTGACAGGTTACTCTCCGGAACCACTCCTAAATCTCGTTCCTTGTAAGAGGTTTGTTCATGATGGCAAACTGTTGTCACACTTATTAGATCACCAACCTCCCAATTTTGTAAATTGTTTTAGATGTGTACAATAAAGGTGTGAGTCTCTCTGAGTGGCATCCTATAATCTCTGTTCTTATTAACTAGGATCTTCAAAGTTATGAATGTAGTTGAATTTCTGAACTTATTATTGATACTGATAACTTGCATCACTGCACAAACTTATATCAAACAAATCTTATGTTGCATATAATATTTAGACAGTCTAAAAAGAAGTATATATAGTAGAGTGTAGATGCAGATCTTATAAGATAAGCACTGTATACCACTGGGAATCAACTGTATCAAACTTTCCCTTTGTTAATCATAGCAAAATATTGAGCAGTAGTCTTATGCCCTTGTTTAAGTATTCAGCCACTTAGTCCACTAAGCTTAAATGGAAGGGAACTATCAGGGGAAAGTGCCATTATGACTACACAGCACTGGGAAAGAGTCAGGATAAGGATTTGGGATGGGACTGGGGGGGGGGGAGAGAAAGAGCCTGGATCGGGATTTGGAATGGGACCGGAGGGGGGGGGGGGGGAAGAAAGGGTCAGGATAAAGATTTGGGATGGGATGGGGAGGGGGGGAAGGGGGGGAAGGAATGGTGCCCACCCACTTGGACAGTCAGGGATTGAACGGCGACCTGCATGACACGAGCCCATCATCCTACTGTCTAGCCCAAGTGGTTGGGTTAGGATGGTTGTAATTAGGCCAGATTTCATCTAAACATAAATAGGCTGTGAAATATATTTTGCATCTTTTAACTTTAACAGACAGCCAATATGATTGCCTGAGACAAATGCAAAAGTATAATGACAGGTGTTTTTTTTCTTATGGCTACACTTACCTGATGGTGAGGATGGTCTCTTCCTTTGAAGGAATATTTAGGATGACTTTTTAGACGAGATGTTCGATTCTCCGGAGTTAACTCTACACTAGTTAAAAACCTGTTGCCAAAGAAAAATATAACTTAATTTAAGATAACATAATACTGAGTAGTTTCAAAACTATCAGAATAAACAATTTGCACATATATACCATTATAAAATTAACAACACATGTTAATTTTAAGTCAATTTAGTTATGTTCGAATTATAGTGCCAACAATAATTCATACAAATTATACACTCTTGTATTGACTGCTTTTATTTTTAATAGTTGTCATATTTATAGAAAATAGAGCATAATTCTGATGAATCTTACCATGTATAGCCAAAAATTATTGAAATGTTAAGCTTGTATGGAATGATTTTAAAATGTAGATAATAAAATATGTAATATTTAACAGAACATGATATAATTTATAAGTTCTAATGCAATACAATGAAACAGACCCTAATTAAATACAGTATACTAAAATATTACACTGAAACTTCTCATCTTCTAGTGACTGATATAATCACATTATTTATCTTATTAATGTTGTAATAATACTAAATGAAACTCAGTGTATTATATAAGTTTGTTTAGGGTGATAATTAAGAATGTAACTTTAGTGATAATTTATTACATACGTTACATTTAGAGCAGGACAGTGCAAGGCTCATAGGTAATGATTGCTACTTCAAGCAATTATGAGTTTTAGCAATTTAACTCTGTAAGGCACATTTTTCTTTATGAAAATAATAATTAAGAAACAATGAAGGTAAAGGAAAGACCCAATTCATGTGCAAGTGTGTTAAAATTAAATATTTGGATGCATCTGCATCTTTTCTCAAGGTCTTGTAAACAATGTTCACCTTCCCCTTCATTCAAGCACTATGATAAGGAAGAATTCCTGAGACCTGGAATGTCAAGAACAAGAGGTCATAGATTTAAGCGAACTAAACAAAGCTGCCAAAGAAATATAAGAAAACACTACAAACACAGCTCCTACATAATCACAAATAGATAATCACATACACCAAAAAATAAAATTTAAATAATGTAAAAGTATGATATCCTTAGCTGTTTCTCTCTTCAAAGAGGGTCTTATTTTATATGAATTTTTCTCATACACTATGTAAACAATCTCAGGACCTGTGTCACTTACCTAACATGACCCGTGTGCCCATGCGGTATGCCAACCATGTTTAAAGGTGCTTGAACACGGTGAGTATTATGGGCAAGATGGGGAAGTGGCACAGTGATAATGACTCCAGCACTCGTTCCTACCCAAAGCAAATCCTTACAAGCCAGTAATGACGTTACGCGTAAACATGCAGCTTTGTGCTGCCGAATGATATCATCACAACCTGGAAGACATAACTATTTAATATGGAGTATATTTTTTGTAAAGCGGTGTTAAATAACACTGACACTTACCAGTACAAGTAGTCCCACTGCTGCTTCAAAACATTTACCCGAGCACCGACAACAGCTATCAGAATTTTGTATGGTGTTTTATGTATTGAATTAGTTTTTATAATTTACCTTCATTTACTTCTTCAAGGACATGCATTAATTTTTCTATGCTGATCCTAACTACTGTATATGACAAATAGCAACACTGCTGGATATGCACTATAATTTTGTTAAGTTTTAAAGACAAATTTATACAGTACATTACTCAATTGTTTTATATACAGTACATATATAGTGTTTCTCAGTTAAAAAAATATAAATTCATATACTGTACTGTATTATCATGGCACATTTTCCACAAATGGTGCATTGAAGTTTAAAACTTGCCATCTAAAAGCACTCCATAATAGGTGCATATTTTTATCAAGATTTAACCTTACCTGCAAGCATTTTTGTGACTGCAGGAGCAACATTTACTTCACATAAACACTCATAGGTAGCTGCGTGGTACAGTCTGACAGCTGCAGAATTGTGCACTGACACCCACACCCCATGACCTGCAGAGACCATGCACGACACTCCACGTCCATTCTCCCCACCTACCACAAATGAATGCTGTTGGAAAAGCAATATGTTAATGGTTTTTAGGAGACTTTGTCTGTGAAATAATGTCAGTACAATATCTCCAAAAGCTTTACAAATACTGTACATAATACCACCTCCTCACTGTAGCACAAGAAGGATTCTTCAGTATTGTAAATTTATGTAAATTAAATACTGTATATGAAAATAATATGATCAATTGATAAATACTGTAAATGTAGAATATTCGCAACAAAACTTCAAAAAGTGTAAACTTAGAATGAGGTTTAAGAGAAAGAATTCTAATATACATAAAAATGATCAAAAGAAGCTTATAGTAACCTGATTTTTAATTCAAGTTGCACAAAACCATATACTGTATGGTTTACAGTACAATACTATGATACTTATACTATACTTACAGTATAGTATAAATAAATATATTTATTTATATATAGTATAGATATACAGTATAGTATAGATAAATATACTTACAGTATATTTACTATGATACAGTAATTTATGTAAAACTAAATTACAAAAAATCTGAAATTTAATAAATAATAACAGTACAGAGGTACCTCCATTTACAAATTTAATATGTTCCCAGAGACCGTTTGTAAGCCGAAACTAATTTTCCTATAAGAAATAATATAAATTAAAAAAATAAAAAATAAAAATGTTTATTCAGGTAAAAGTACATAAATAGAAGATGAGTTACAAACATAATGTTGGATTTATAGGTAGAGCTAATACATACAATACCTAAAGCTACTAATACGCACAGCATTTCAGGCAAATTGAATTAATCCATTCCACACTCCCAAAAATATTAACATAAAAATACATTTCATACATAATATTACACATATTTTGTACTACACTATGAACAAGTTATATCTTACCTTTATGTTTAGAAATCAAAAAAACAGGAAAAAATTAAATTCTTTACAAAGAATTCAAGTACGATCGTCACTAGGTGGGAGGCACTGGTAAACTAAAGCTCGCCTTGCCCTTGCCACCAGAAACCACGTGCTCGGTCGACTCATACGTATATCAGTACACTTGCCAAGCGAGACAAATCTCATAAAGCGAGTCAAATTTTTCGAAAAAATGAGCTCATAAACTAAAAAATATGTAAAGTGGTATTCGTAAACCGAGGTTCCACTATACTGTATATAAATGCATCCATTTTTATTAATTTACTAAAACTCTTCAAAATACAGTGAAAGACTTCTTCCTGTTTTTTATAAGAACAGGTAGAAATGCTGTGTCCATTGTTGAGCTTTCTCTCACAGTGGACATACACATAAATTGTATACACAAATGTGCATATGCACTGTAGGAAAAGCTATTGAAGATAATATCCTTTGGTCAGATTTTGTAGAGAGCAACATACAAATCTTACACACATATTTGCTCATTTCTGTCAAGTTTTGTATGCTTGAATCCAATCTATATAAATAGAGATGCATTTAATGTGACACAATTTCATTATTTGCGTGTGGTTATATTTTACGGCTACCATATACAGTACTCAAGGAAATACTGTACTGGTAAAGTTCTGCATTAACAAATAATTTTAAAGTATTCAACATAAAAATATTTGTCTAATACAGTATCTTTTAAACCTACAATATTACTTTTGCAAGTACTGTACTTGCCAGTAACGGGATGGACGACTACACAGACACCCTTACTCTTGGCTAGGTGAACCTTGACAATGATATACAGGTATACCAGGTGTCTATTGTCTAGAACATAAATTGGCTAGTAGCATTTATTCTGAAACACTTTGTGAAAAAAGAAGGTAATATTAGAAGTGACTGTATTTACTCTGTCAACCCTTTCATTCCAATGAAGCCATTTTTATTTTTGCACTTACTTCCACTTGAAGTGAGACAGTATTAAGGAGGCGCACAGTGTTCATGGCTGCACACCACAGCTTGCCTGCTACTGCCATCATCCTAGTCACTGGCGCAGCAGCGGTACTGATGCTTATAACTTGTCTCTCTCCAACATTCCATCCACCAGTCATGTCTCGCCGATATACAATGATGTCTCCATTAGCCAGGGATGCAAACACCCGATTGTCTAAGTGACTGTTTAAGGGAAAGATATTCAAGTAAATTATTTTAGATTTGAGTGAAGAGATAATGATTGATACTTAAAAAGACTACAGTATTGAACATGAATCAATTATTTATCATGGTGCTGATGCTATTGCTTTCCAAAGCTAACCTGTCTCACCTAACCAGGAATGTTTGGAGGTGTAGTGGTCACAGGTTAGGTAGGATTTATGGAATTTTTCAATGCTCTGGGCTGTGAGACCAAAGTGTTTCTTTGCAGGCATTTTTAGTTAAAGCCTGTTTCATCAACATACTCCTGAAACTTGCTAAAGTTATTGGATCCCATCTACAGAGAAAGTATCAACTTAAAAGCACCAACATTTGCAACATTAGTTGAATTCTCGAGCGAGACTGGTGAAGGAGAATTCATACTTAGCTTTTTTCTATGCTGTAAATTTCTGCTGAAAAAGATTAAGAAATTCCTATTTTCTTTCACACCTTCACCTTCACAATTGCTGCTGTGAGATATTTTCATAATAAATTGACTCAAACAGTGAAGAATGCAAAATATATGTATCCTGAATCATTAAAATCTGGGCCTGGACTGAGTATTTGTTAACAGCTGAGAGGCAGTAGCTACATTTGGCTTAACTCCATGAAAATGGCATAGGGGTCTTTATTATTACTAATATTTCTTAAAGTATTTAACTTAGGCCTACCCAAATCAGCCTATGTCTGTCCAATATCCCAGACCTTTACCCCTGCATATTAGTAATGAAAAGACATTACCATTATTATTATTAATATTATTATTATTATTATTATTATTATTATTATTATTATTATTATTATTATTATCATAATTATTACTATTATTGTCATTATTACCAGTACTTGACATACAGAAAATGGATCATATGAGAAATATAAAGCAATATAGCTGAATTAACCTACATTATACAATGAACTGGAGACCCAGGCTGGAATTTGAACTTGTTCTTCTTAATTCTAATTGTGTCAGAGCAATTATAAACATGGATAAAACCATCTTCTGTCCCGAGCCACATCGTCGGTTGCTGATTGTCTGTGTCGTCACTTCCCATCTCAGGAGGTAGAGATTCACTTCTCCGCTTTCTAATGTCTTCATCCACATGAATTTCTTCATCCTCATCATCATCACTAGAATCACTGTTGGTGTATATATATAAATACAGTATAAACATATACAGTACTGTGCATACATACCTGCATTGTTATATCCATAAACCTGTTTACTGTAGTTCATGCAATATGTTAATTTGCAATGTTTATGATACAATGATAGAGACTAATGAAATCAAATTATTTATGCATCATGTTGCAATCAAATTATTTATGTACCATATTGCAATGTAATTATTTATGTGCCATGTTGCAATAAAAAAGTTATGCACCATGTTGCAATAAAATTATTTATGCACCATATTCAAATTTAAAAAATCCCACTGTAAACAATAATAAACAAACTCAGAACTTGTGTAGTTCAAAGTTTAAAACAAACTTGTGTAGCTCAGAACTCTTACTGTATTAACATTTCAGTAGGGTCACTGACTTTCTTGACAAAAATGCAAACAAAATAACTAGTTATTTAATACCAATATTTCTGGTTAGATACATTGTTTATATGCTATTTTAGTATTCACCTAGCTGTACTTGCAGGGGGTGAGCTATGGCTCTTATGTTCCGCCTCTGAAATCTTAATCGACTGGAATTGTGGTTAAGATTAATGGAACTGCAGAGAGAGAGTTTTGGATAAAGGTGTATATTGTGTTCCTTTTAGTGAATGAAATCAAGTGTATCTGGAGAAACTTATTGAAGTTTAGATCAAGGATTAAGTGAGCACAAATATATTTGTAGAACATGAAATTATTTATTTATTTGAAGTTATTTGTAGAACATGAAATAAAAATAACACCTTGTGTAATCATAATATTAACACTGGACATTCAGCTCAGTTAGGAAGCTACATATGTAGTGGACAAGATGTTGTGCAGATGTTAAAAATAAATTAATTTACTGTAACTGTTAGCAATAAAATTTATCAAACTAATGGATTTTTCAAAACCAAACTACTAGAATTTCTGTTGAGAGGAACATAAGTGTATCAGTGTATGAGAATTTACAATTATTTACGAGTGACTTGGTAAACCACATAACTAGCATGTAAAAAATAAGGCTGATCTGAGATGTGAGTATATAAAGAGATTTTTTTTATTCATGTTTCCCTAAAGAAAACAAGTGACGAGGACAAAACATTGAGAGTAGGTATCCTTAGCTGCACGAGGCATTTTTGTTTCTCTTGGTTTATAGATATAAATTTGACGGAATTAATAAGATTCTACACAAAACATAAAACTAGAAAAATATTTATTTTTCATTGACAGACAACAATTATACAGTACTACAATTAACAGTGCCTATACTCTTTTAAATTGATAAATACAGTACTTTCAGAAAACACGGAAAATGGTAGAATTTATGCAAAACGTACGGTTGAGGAGCAGCAGGAATAGAGGCAATGGAAAGGATTCTGGCATTACACACTCCATTGCAACATGCTACTGTTGGGTCAGGCTGTAAGCTCAGCACACATACCTGCCCAACATACCCATCACTGAAAAGATAACAAAAAATTAAACTGCCAATAAAATAACTTGAAAAGATACAGTACAGTACTGTATTGTACTGCATAACATAATAAAACGTAGAGTAATACAGTAATGTACTACATAATATTATAAAACTAGAGTGATACAGTAGTGTGCTGCATAACATTATGTAACTTGGTGTTCCAGCATCATTATACACCTTGTCCCTATTTTTGATGAGTAAATATGTACTATTTTATAATGTCTGTGTGTGGTGTTTCATGTTTATAAGTGCAGGAAAAAGAGCTGTGTTCATGGTGTCCTTTCTTTGTATATCATTTACCGCTTGTATATCATTTATAATACAGAAGATCTTTGTATCATGTCAAGTAAAAATCAGAAAATGTCAAAGAAGATTTTTACAATGTTCAAGAAAACAAGGAAATATTTTTTTTATAAATTTTGAGAACATTGTAGAGTAGAGTTAATTAAGAAAGTAGAGTGTGGTGTCCCTACGAGATTTGTGTGTTTACTAAATACAAAGTAAGAAGAATTTTCTTATATATTTTAAGGATTAAATCTAAAATCTTTGCCAGTGTAATCAGAGAAAAAGTTAAAAAGAAAATGGCATAAAAAGGTTGTCAGTTAGGCAAGAGTAAAGATAGTTGATGATGCAGTGATGGAATGATACAAGCTGCATAAATAGTACAATATGGTTATAATAGTACAAGATGCTTGGAATAGTACAAGCTGGGTGAAACAAAACTTAGTGACAGGATGGCTACTCATGGAGAAGGTGTCATTGGTTTGTATCTCCAGTAAGACTTAATGTGCAGTTAACTAGCTAAGCATAAGCCTTACGATGAAATTCAGGATATTGTCAAAGTTGTTGTTGTTGATGAGTCACAATATCATGGCTGAAAATATGAAGACTAAACCACACACCACAAGATGAGGAGACGATGATGTTTCGGTCCGTCCTGGACCATTATCGAATCGATTGTGATAATCGACTTGATAATGGTCAAGGACGGGCCAAAACGTCATCGTCTTTTGGCATGTGGTTTAATCTTCTTGTCAAAGTACCAGTAAATATTTCAAAGAAGTGATCTCACCACACTACACTCGGGTACATTTGCTTCTATAATGTGTTTATGGAAGGATTAATTACTGATGACAATTTGAAAGGATCATTTACCTTAGTAGTTTTAAGAAGGTACAGAAATTATTCATATATTCCAAGTTGCATAAGCTTAAACACAAGACCTTTGTATCAAACTACAACAAATACTCCAGAAACATCTAAGATTTGAATGTACTGTATCTGTTACCTGTTGCACACCCATACATCTTTAAGGTTATGAGCATTGAGACCAAGTGTAGCAGTTGCACATGTGAACTGAAGACCTGCTCTCGTTTTTCTAATTGGCAGAGCTGATAAAAACTCTGGAGGAGGTCGCCGATCTGCTGACATAGCTGTCGGTAGATACATTATTTTAGAGATAAGGAATCATTTTTCTTGCAAGAGACATTGTTGAACATACTATATTTAGAATGCTTCACATTCTTAATAGCAGCTATTTGTGTAAAACTAACATGCAGGTTTATTTGAAATGTGCCATAAAGTAACTACATATTTAGCTACTTTGTCTCTTTCATTGAGAGCTTCATGTTAGTAAACTTTAGAGGTAGACAATTTTAAAGGAATCATAACCCCCATGTAAACTATCTGAAGCTTCAGCATAGGGTGAGATATTTCTTGTACAAAGATAAGGGGGACTATAAAATAATAAAAAAAGTATCTACATAAGGCAATACACCATATTAAAATCACATATATTCTTTGCATATTAGTGGCCTTATTAAATATTCATTCTCTAAAACAATTATTAAACCACTGTATCTATTAATTATCAATAACATTATTCGTACTCTTATTATTGTTTTTCTTCTTATTTTTATTCTTCTTATTCTTATTCTTATTATTCTTATTCTTAATCTTATTACTCTTATTCTTCTTCTTTTTATTATTATGAAGGGGTGCATGACATGTTTCTCTCTTGAGAATACTGTACATTCAAATATACTTATGCTTTCATAATTCACTCCGAATGATGGAGAATAAAAATACATTACAAGCAATTTTTGGTTGAAACTTCAATAAATATTATTTTAGTCGTTTGTTTGGTATCAAATGACAGCAAGGATACATCAGTTAATTCTTGTGAGTGTAGTTAATGACTTTACATCTGGATTAGTCACAATATATGTGGCATTTCTAAAATATCATATTCATTAGATTATAATATAATAATTCATTAGATTATAGTAATTTGTTCTTGTTGAAGGGTTTATTATTATGATGATTTGTAGTTTTGTCATTTTTTTCTACATTTGCTTTCTGTTATTTCAGATAGTATGTAGTGAACTGAGTTTAATAAAGCTGATGCGTAGTATTCATGAGTGTAAATCAATGGTGTTCACCTCAGTATATTTATTTTTTTTACTTAAAATATGAAAATAAATACAAATAAAATAAAGTAATGGCATATAGAAAATACGTAACAAATTTGTGGAGCTATTTTAATGATTTGTTTAAGTGAACAAATTATCAAAATTGAATAAAGATTAATGAAGAAGTATTTTTGTAAAATATAGTAGCCTGAGATTTGAAATGTCTTGTTGAAATGTACATTCCTGCAATAGTCAATAATATTACTTCCTGTAATTAACGTAATATAAAATTATTTAAAATATAGTTTCTATGGTATAGAAGTTCTTTATGTTAAATTCCTCTAGTTTGTGTTCCTGTTTGTGTTGAGATTTGGGAGAAGACTCACCTAGTTTATGTTTAGCATCATTGAATGCTTCCTCCCACATGGCTCTCTTTTCTGCACTGCTGAACATAAAGGTCAGGTTTTCCATGCCTTCCCTGTCAATGAATAATTTTGTTAGTGCTTAAAGAATATGTACAGCAGGTATAAACTGAAAATAAGACAGAACTAAGAATAGAATACAGTACAAACCCAATATATTTAACATGGTTGGCAGGTACAATACTGTATCAGCACAGGAATAAATTTTTTAATTTGATGTACTGTACAATATTTATACAGTAATGAAAAATTATGTTTATAAATACATACTGTATATGGTTGAATGCTGTACATCATAAAACAATAGTGCTTGTTAATAATATTTAATGATCTGGCTAATTGGATCATCTGTTATACATATTTTCCTGAACAATAACATGCAGCTGATCTATGAGGTATGCTCTATTGTGTCTAGTGGACAAAATCATGGATAGTCAGGCAAGAGGACATACTGCCACTGACATCACAGAGACCTTTTCAAGTGGTCCCTACAGGATCCTTATAGATGCTACACAGTCACTGGAGAATACCAGCCACAAATGACAGATGCTTTCACAAAAACTCTTCCAAACCCTCCCTTGGCATCACAGGTAACTGACAAAGGAGCGCTCTCACTAACTACCATACTCATCACCCTATACTGACCACCACAAGGTCGCAAGTTATATTCGCCTCTGGGTTCTTGACCTGAGCCTTCTCACATATATCCTAACTGTGTCTCATGTTAATCAGCAGGCAGGGACCAGATTTTAAGTTAAAGTTTGGCTGGGTTTTACTGTTGTTAATATTTGAATCCGTGTGCTCACATGTCTTGTGCAGTGCCCAGACATGTAAGAGTTCACAGGTCTTTGAGTGTCCCTTGAATATTTGGAGTGATTCACTCAGATTCAGTGCCAGGTGTGCACAGGATTGGCTTCACCCTGTGAGATCATTTTGCAAAACTGCATTCATGGTCATATGGAATCTAAATAAAAGACCTAGGTCTTCGTTCCTGTACATGGGATACAATCAGTCTTCAGAGAAAATACCAGGAATTAGTACTGTACCAGCCAATCAGAATATTATTTTAAAATATTACATTTTAAATTGGTTCATTTGATTTAAGTTTGGTTTAAAAATATTTATTATATTGTACTAGAAATTTCATATTCATCACTTAAAAATTAAGAGAAAATAATAGATAGTGTAAAGAGCAGTATTTTACATTCACTAATGCTCTTAACTTACTGTGTTGTAATGGTGAGCTCAAGCTCCATGAGCTGTGAGTTAGCCCCATGTCTTTCAGCCAGCTGCTTCTGAGCTTGGGCAAGCATCTCTTGAACAGACTCTTCTAAGGGGCCTCGTGGACATCGAAGTGTTTTTGAGAGCTCGGAAATATGTTGGAGAGTTCGAAGATCTTCTTGTAAGGTTTCCATCTCTCTGACTAACTTCTTCACACTTTCGTCTCGTGCTATAATACAATAAAGTTGTTTATAATAATTTGTACACAAATCAATGAGGCTGTGTTGTAGCTTGAGTGGAGTGCGCTAATGTAATTACAGTACTGTACTTGAAATGAAATCAATAAAAATGAGGTAAAGAAATAAGGGAACATCCTCAATCTCTTTATATCTTTCTAAAAGAGGTTGTTTATGAAGTACTAAAACTGACATCAAATTCTCAGAAGTTTGAGAAATATGAAACTGAGCAACGCTATTCAATACGGAAAATAGTAACTTACACCTAGCGATATCCAGGTCGTCTAATGGAATGAATTTGAAGAGCTTGAATTTGTTAGATTCCAAGGAATTCAGTACCGTATATGGTAAACTGTGGAAGAAAAAAGTTCTTAATATTTTTGTTATTTGGACAGTGTGAGCTGATAATATTGACAGCAATATTTTACATGTCAAAGAAAATGCAAGAAAGCAGAACCACAATGTCTATTTTTAAATTTATTCAGATATCACAAATGTACTTGGTTGTGAAAAATCTTTTATGTTCTATGAAATGGAGGTAGGGCTAACTAGTGGGAAGCTTGGTTGGACGAAGTTTTGGTTGTTTGTTTTCTTATTGTTGAGTAGCCAGCATGAGAGGTCTGGAGCTCCCCCTTCCCCTTACCAGGGAGGGGGGAGCTGCACAGACTGCAGTGCAGCGGCTGTGGTAATGCCATGCTTGTTTGCTTGTTTCCTGATTGGAGAGTTCTGCCTGCTTATTCGGCTTACAGTTTGCAATTTTTAACCAGCTGTAGTTTGTTTGGGATTCCTACCTTTCTGGTTGTCTGACCTGGTTGATGGCAGACATAGACTGCTTCCAACTACATGTGGATGTCTATAGGCCATTGTTCCTCATGAATCTCTGAGAGGGCCAGGTTCTGGCTCGTGGTCCTCAGAATGCTAAGAACTCCATAGATCGACTGTTGCCACGGTCTAATATATACACATCAGCCCGGTATAGCTCCAGAGAGCCGAAGGGGCTCTCCACAGAAAAGATCTATATATTTGTTTTTATGTAAAGAAGAAATATTTTGTATAATAAGAAATTAAAAAATTGCTGAAGACAAAAATGACAAAGTATTAAAAGGTAATTTTCATTACCGTAAATATCATCTGCGTTTTGCATGCTAATTTCTTGCACACACAGAATGCCTCCTGTAATGCTTTTATAGTTCAGGGGTTGAATATTCACTGTCGAAGAATTATCATCTATATCACAAATAATATCAAACCGTCTACTCCAGTAGTATATTGAATATTTATTTTAGACTTGGATATACTTTGAGTAAAAATGAGAACATTGTGTGCAAAAATATTTACCTAGATCCTTTCCGTATAGTGCCAGACCGTCTTTTGATGGCAGTGATGACAAGAAGATCAGAAAACAGGAACAGACAGCGCTCTTTCCGTGTTACTAGCCCAGGATGCATTGTCACAAAATCATGACGCAGGAATGTCCTGACAAAGAAACAACAGCACGTTTGGTATTGTTAAAGCTTGGAATATATTCATCCATTTACAAAATTCAGTCTTAAACCATGACATTGATAGTTTTGGGGTAATTCACAGTTTTATGGAAAATGTTCTAAATACTGACAGCGACATTCTTGAACTTTCATCATATAATGGAGGTACACTAATGGATTTAATATTGTACTGCAATTGTGCAATTTGTTGTGATTTTTGTACTGTATATCTGAAGGAGTGGCAAGCTGGATTTACCAAATGAATGTTGTGGAATACTGCACAAGTTTAACAGTAGATAACAATGTAATACAAGAGCTTGCCATACACACAAAATAACACAGTATAAAGTACGGTAGTAACTGTTGGGTTATCCTCTCCTATACCTACGAGACCTTGATCTCCAGTGAACACGGGAAATATGGCTATAAAAAAATGGAACTTGTGGTCAGTGTAATATTGTCTTCAAGAATCAAACAATGGGAGTTACTTGTTTTATATGTAAAACCAGGTTCCACATTTCTTGTACTGAAGCAAATAACAATAAAGAACTGCAAAGTTATTTTCTTTGGGTATGCAATAATGATTTGCATTCTTGGAAAATGAGCTAAATGGGTAGAAAGGTGTTCTACCCATTTAGTTTTAAGTATTTTGTCACTATTTTGACTATTATATTAGAAACTGAGTAAATTTGTTATGCAGGATCTTCCAGATCGGAAACCATACTTAGTTTTAGTTTTTAATTATTTTTTCCAATAAATCCTGGTGTCTGCTAGAGAAAAAATTGTTTAGCCGGCATAACTGTCACTTTACCCTTTATTTAAAGATTTATTGTATTCTTTTTAAGCCAAATAAAAATATCCTTATGAATATAATTATAATTTTGAAATGTACTTTATAGCTTGCATTTATTTACAGCCATACCTGTCTGGTTGGACAAGACCAACGAGGCCTTCAATAATATTCTCAAGTTCTTTTAGATGTAGTTGTTGCTCTTCATGTTGGACAGCCAATTGCTCTACAGCATTGATTTTACTGGCAAGCTGCTGTACCACGCCAATGGCCTCCGTCAGTAAGGGGTGGTCTGGGTGGTCTCGGTTTGTGTGCTTCAGGAGACGCTGTACCAAAAATGGAGACAATGAGAATGTCGGAACCTGATGCAGAATTATTGTTTATCCTTGCCATAAGTGAATCATAGTGGAAAGACAAATGACACTGATGGCACTTCAGCCATATGAATGACTGATATTAAACATAACAAACATTGCCAAGATAAAGATAAACAATGCAGGGACCCAATACAAGAGAGGATGATAAACTAAGTCATAAAGTTGTTTAAAACTTTATTTACTAAACAAAAAAGATAACTTACCAAAAATGGATAAAATAAGACAAAAACAGAAATCCAATGAAATCTGCATCCCCCCATAAAATAATGACAAAACACGAAATAGAAGGAAAGAATAGATGAAAAGATAGCAAAGATAGCATATCTGAAAATAAAGATATGTTGTCTTTGATGACATTTCAGCCATCACTTTAAACATCCTATATATAAATGTCTTCTAAAATCTCTTTATTGCCCTTACTCTTCACATGTTGAACTGCCCCTATCTTGTTGAATTGGCTCTCATACATAACATGCCCAACATGAACCTTAGCTCCAGCTTTGTTGCTGTTGACCCTTGTCTTTCTCAGTATTGTACATAAATGATTCTAACTTCTTAACTTAAGTGATCTGACTTAGCTTTAGCCTCTCTAAGCTCACTCTCTTTTCTTTCTCCTCTGTTGCTATCTCCTTTACTTCACCTTTTTCTCTTTGCCATCTGGTTTGCTGTAATTTTTGTTATTCCTGTTAACTCTTACTTACTGTCCCTGTTAACTACTTCTTACTTTCTCAACTTTCACCTAATGTTCTTACCTCATACATTGATTTTCTCTACCACTCTTTCATTACTTGACTTGATAATGGTCAATGACAGACTGAATCAGTGTCACTTCTATTATTTTCAAATATGTATAATAATAATAATAATACTTTATTTATATAAAAGTACATACATTTAAATCATGAAACAGTCGAGAATTTGTAGGTAAGAAATGTACATTACATAAAACCGTCGTAACACAACCAGTCGTTATTCAACCGATCATTGCACAAATGGCTGTCACACAACCTATCGTTACACAACCCATCATTACACAGCCCTTGTCACACAACCTGTTGTCACACAAACCAGCCACAAACAACTGAATGCTCACACAACTGTCCATGCACAAACTGTCCACACATTAAATGCATCATATTTGTATGCTTGGGATAAAAGTTCACAAACTGAATGCTATTTGCTGGAAATACTGTACATGTATTGCCAGCAAATTTACTGGACTTTGCTACTTTACTCTAGTAGCAAAGTACACATTTTAGGACATAGGAGCATCGATTGATCCTTAGTGTAGATCCATATTACATACAGGAAAAGCATACAATACTGACATGGTATACTTGTATACCAGTGTCTTGGATGGGACGCTTGTGAGGCATGTTGGTCCCCAGCCAAGGGCAAGAATCTCTATATTGTCCCCAATACAGTGCCTACAGTGATACAGTTCCTATGACTCAGTGATGTGGGCCTGGTAAGTTCAAGTGGTGTTTAAATAGGCTGATTGAGCAATGAGCACATCTTTTGTAGTGCCTCACAACTGTATTACAGTACATGTATTCTCATATTTGAGAAAGGGATAACTTTCAGTGCCATTATAGCAAAACATAGTTGCATCATCCTACATAAAATATATTAATTTATTAGTAGTAAAGCATTGCTCACCTTGAGAAGTAACTCATACTGTGGAAGGCGTTGGACAGGTTTAATAAGCAGTGCCTTGAGGTCAAGTTTGCCATGATGTTCCCGAGCTCTTGCCTGCGGAAGAAAGAACCCGTGAGCAGCTACACATACAAAATAATAGAAAATTCACAAAGCAGGCCAGAACAAACTACTGTAAATACTTTGTGTGGGTGGTACATATGGATACCAGTGAATTCTAAATGTGCTACAGGAATATTTTTTTTTTTAAGTAATAAAGTAGTAAATAAATTGAATGAACTATGAAGTGATGTGGTGAAGGATGACTCTATACACAGCTTCAAATATAGATGTAACGGAGTCCAAAGAGCTAGGGAAATAAGCAGTAATTGGGGACCTATAACTGTAAACCAGTTAGCAGGTCAAGTTAGAGGAGAAAGCTAATAGAGTAAGATTTAATTTGAAATATAGGAAGGAAAAGCTGTAAGTCTGATAGGAAGAGTCAGAAGTCAGTCAAAGGCATTGTGAAAATAGCCTAGGTTGCCCTTGTAAACTTCAAAATTGCCTTTAAATAAATAGATGGAAAAATAATAAAGAAATTAATCACAACATTCATGAGACCAAAATTAGAGTATGGATCAGTTAGTTGTAGCGTCTATATCTAAAAACACATCAACAAATTAGAAAAGGTGCAGTCTTGGCTTCTGGAACTAAAAAAAAATTAATTGTCTATATAAATGATCTACTAGAGGGAATGTATAATTATATGGGCATGTTTGCTGATGATGCTAAACTTTGAGGGAAGATAAGAGACTTACAAGATTGCAATGGACAATATTTTGCCCATGATGACCGGGACAAAATAAGTGTATGGAGAATGGCAAATGGAATTCAATATAAATAAAGACCTCATTATGGAATGTGGAATATTAGAACACATAATATACAAATAATGTGAAAAGGCTTTAAAAAAAACTCTGGTAAAGAAAGAGATCTAGGGGGTGGTCCTAGATAGAAAACTGTCACCTGAGGTCCACATAAAGAGCATTGTGTAAGAAGCCCATGCTACGCTTTCAAATTTCAGAATTGCTTTTAAATACAGTACAGTACATGGAAGGTGAAATATTAAAGAAATTATTTACGACCTTTGAGAAACCAAAGCTGGAATATGCAGCGTTGATGAAGCACATCAACAAACTGGAAAAGGTGCTAAGACATGGAGTTAAATGACTCATCTTCCAAAAAGTAGAAGATAGAAGAAAAAGAGGTGATATGATCACTTCATACAAAATAGTAACGGGAATCAACAAAAGTGATAGGGAAGAATTCCTGAGACCTGGAACTTGAAGAACAAGAGGTCATAGATTTATACTAACTAAACAAAGCTGCCAAAGAAACATAAGAAAAATCACTTTTGCTAACAGAGTGGTAGATGGTTGGAACAAGTTAAGTGAGAAGGTGGTGGATGCCAAAACTGTCAGTAGTTTCAAAACATTATATGACAGAGTGCTGTACTGGGAAAATGGGACACCACAATCATAGCTCTCATACTGTAATAATTACACTTAGGCAATTACACACACACTGTCCATGCCTCTACAAGGTACATAAAAAAATTGTACATAATTTATATGTACAATTGTATAAATGTACACTTATACAAAGTACAATTGTACATTTATGAACAAATTTTACAAAGGTACCAGTACATAAAAATAAATTGAAAAGGTACAAAGACATCCTCCCAAATGGCTTCCAAACCTAAAAACCAAGAGCTGTGAGGAGAGATTAGATGCATGTATTAAACATGCGAAAGCTAACAAATAGAAGGAAATGAGGCAATATCATCACATACCAAATCATGGCTGAAATTGACAAAAACACATAAGGATGAATAAAGTTTAAAACATTCAACATTCTAAAAGGCTACAGAATCAAGCAGATAAAACAAAGGTGTAGAAAAAATGCACATTTGTTTTCTTAGCATAGGAGGAAATTAATGAGCAATGAATCAAATGGCTGTATGAAAGCACTTCATCATCTAGGGATAGGCGAGCAAGTTGAATGAGTTGAAAGTGAAGGTAGATGGAGCTAAACCCTTAGCTTGAATAGTATGATGAAAAACAACAGGGCCAGAAACCACTGAAATAGGCAACATGTGACTGAAAGGTGACCTCAAAAACTATAACATGCCCTGTAAGAAAATACAATTGAGTGAAGGGCAAGAGCTACGAGGAGAGGTTAGAACACACACACACACACACACACACACACACACACACACACACACACACACACACACACACACACACACACACACACACACACACATGTAATTACACACACACACACACATGCACACACACACACACACACACGTGTGTGTTAGTGATCGTAATATCTAGTAAGATCACTTGAGGTCCCATGCCACAAGTTACCTCATTACAGTTAGAAAGATTTCTCTGTAATTTGTTGGAGTCTTTTGACTCCCCCAGCAAACTGTGCTATTGATCACATGTGTGTGTGAGTGCCTGCACCCAGCCACACACGTGCCTAGGGTGATGCACTCACCAAGAGGAAGTGCCTGAAGGTCTGTTTTGCATGGGATGCCGCCTTGGCTGCTTCATGAGCTGTCTTGAGGTTGTTGGTGAAGGATGTGTAGCTCTCCAACACCCCCGGGTCATTAACCTGTGTACACAAGCACAATATGTACACTACACTCCTAAATATACATAGCTCCTGTTCACTGCTGTTACCAATAATGACATAAAAAAAGTCATGATGATAACAAAAACACAGGAAATAAAATTCAATTATACCAGTAAAGCTAACACTAGCAGTAATAATAATAATAATAATACAACTATTTTAGGATAAAAACTCACACTTGTGTATATGTAAAATTTATGAAAGGAATTTACACCATGTCTTTCGCACTCTCCTGAGTGCTTTATCAAGGTTTGAATGTGTGATTAGGATAAGACTTGCATCTCAACGTCTAATCTATGTCAACTCACGAGATGTAAGTCTTATCCTAATCACACACTCAGATCTTGATAAAGCACTCAGGAGAATGTGAAAGAATTGGTGTAAATTCCTTACATAAATTTCATATATACACAAATGTGGGTTTTTGTCGTATGTTATTATGTCTGTGATAAGACATTATAATTATAATGTTACTAGTACTACTACAGTACTACTGCTACTACTAATAGTACTACTACTAGTATTAATTATTATTATTATTATAATGTTACTAATAATGAAAAAATAATTTGGAGCAATACAGGCATTTGAACAAGCATTCTAGTGACTCCCAGATGCTTGCCTTTCCCCACTCGGCAATGATAGGACAAAAGCTATTCAACTCAGAACTCTACTGAGTCCATTGAGAGAGTCTGAAAGTCCCAACTGGTGCCACAACCAGGTTTTATTAATAGCCTGCCTACATTCTGCTAATGGTGTTCTCCAGTATATGGAGCTTTGAGAAAACTAAAAACCTGGGATCAGATTCCCGTATTGCTCCAAATTATTTTCTCGATTGATATAGTGTGATTTTTTTGTGTTCTTAAGGATTTATTTATTTATTAAAAGTAGGGTGGAAAAACCATTACACACAGGTCACTGTGAAGTGAAGGCAGGTTATTTGTAAAACTTTGTTGTGGTACCTGGTGGAGCCTCCAGACTCTCCCAGTGCACTCCTTAAAGTTCTAGATTAAATAACTTTTGTCCTATCACGGTTGATTGGGTTAAGGCAACTGTCTTAAGAGTCAATAGAATGCTGATTCAATTTCTCACATTGCTCCAAATGATTTTCTCATTGATATATTATGCCATTGTGATTTTTTTGGTGTTAATAATAAAAATACTACTACTAATACTATTAATAATAACAACAACAATAACAATAATAATAATAATAATAATAATAATAATGATAATAATAATAATAAAAATAATAATAATAATAATAATAATAATATTAAAAGTTACTAATAAAGCTTGTTAAAAAAAAAAACATTATTTGAGAAGAATCTTGTGGAAACTGGTAAAAATTATTATAATATAATATGTCAATGATTCAGTACTTAGCTCTTATGAAAATCATAGTTATTATTTAGTCAAATTTAATTAATTTTTTTATATTGAGGCTGGTATTTTCTCTCTTGATTCCAAGTATGACTAACCATCCTGTGAGATGGGAATATTGGATAAATTTATAGCTGGGTTTTGATATACACTGTAATCTTTCATATAGAATAGGGTAGCAGAACATTACTGTGTATACATAAGCTTGTTAATAAAAAAAAAAAAAGTTACTAATACTTTTTATGATATTCATCTGTTACCTTGAACATTTTACATTTTTACTAGCTTCTCTTTTAGTATTAAGTATTTACCCTTCACACCTTTTAATAATTTTTTTCCAAACTATTTTAAGTTTTGCCCAAAATGCTTTGCATAACAGTGGCTTTATTTGTTAGTTAAACTCCTCTCCCCATAACTGTCCATTACTCTTATGCTCCTTATTCACACATTCTTTTGAATAAACATTTGAATTTGAATTTTACTACCACTACTAATGACAACAACAACAATAATAATAATAATAATAATAATAATAATAATAATAATAATAATAATAATAATAATAATAATAATAATAATGACACGACTACAATAGTAAACTAGCAGTATGAGAGGGGTAAGCGTTGCAGGTTCACACTCTTCACTAGAAACACATATATACACAACAACAAGTGTGCCGAGAATGACAGATATATTCCTTAATATACATAGAAGCCTACAATATCAGGTATTGAGATGTCGCAAGCTAACATGGGTTATCATGATGCTGAGACTGGTGAAGTGTTTGTGAAGTATCATGAGTGAGAGAAGACCACCGGCGCAGTGCACACATTTACACTCCAAGTGACATACTTTCTTGAAGTTCACATTATTATGTGAACCTCCAGAGCTTTAATTAACCTATTAGTGTACCTCGAGAGCTTTAATTAACCTATTATTGTACCTCCAGAGCTTTAATTAACCAGTTTGAGCAGCCAAAGGCACGAGATTTGAGAGCTCAAGCTAGCACTACGTCTAGCTAACATCGAGACATGAATTGTTGATAGAAGTTAACAGTGGTGAAGCAGGAGCCTAGTGTTGGTAGGATATACTAATGTGATGCACGGTAGACACACACACACACACACACACGTGTCTCGCCCCAGCTGAGAGACGCTTCTCATATCTCTACACGTGACTAGCTCAGCTGTGAGACTAATGGAGGGAATAATGAGTGGCTGGTGGGCGGGTGGCTGAGGCCGCTCCAGTAACCTCTGCCCACCACTTGCTCCATTGTCACCCTTCACCTACTAAGGTCAGTATCTGCCACCCATATACCTATACAATATATATATATGTGTGTGTGTTCATGTGTATGCATATGTTTGTGTACGTGAGAAGCAGCCGTTCACCTGGTGCTTGTACGGTGGGGGGAGATGTTTCTCTTAATTGCAGTTGGTAACAAAAAGATATCCAGAGAAGCTGTAATGGTAGCAGCTGAAGAACCTAGTGAAAACTGTCCATATGTAGAAAGAATGAACTTTCTTAGATATATTTCTAAAAGATATAGAATTAATCTTTTGTTAAAAGCTTCCCAAACCCTGGTCGTTTTCGCCTGTCCAGTAATACTAGTAGTGCATAAAAAAATCACAGTAACGTCATAATGAGAAAATCCGTAGGAGCCGTGAGGAGGACTCGAACTTATGCTCTGGGTATTCCCAAGCAAATGCCTTAGACTGCTACACCACGACATGGTCAAAATATTGATTAGGCCTCAGTGGAAGCCTCAGGAACCCTAGAGGATTCACTTGAATTCCAGGTTGCAATTCTTTTGACAATGCCGTTGTGTAGTGGTCTAAGTCGCTTGCTCAGGAGTACCCAGAGCATAGGTTCGAGTCCTCCTCACGGCTCCTACTGATTTTCTCAATAGTAGTAGTAGTGAAATTTGTATTAGTAGCAGTGGTAATTATAATATTAGTCGCAGTAGAGGTATTAATAGTGGTAGCAGTAGTCGTATTAATAGGTGTAGTAGGATAAGTTGTATTATTGTAGTAGTACAGTATTAGCAGTTGTATTAATTGTAGAAGTAATAATAGTAGTAATAAAAGTAGAATTATTAGCTGTAGAAGCAGCAGCAGCAGCAACAGTAGTATCAGTAGCAGCACTAACAATATTAGTAGTAACATTAGCAATATTTGCAATAACAGATGTCGTAATAGTGCCAATAGTATTGGTGTCAGTAGTAGTGGTGGTGATAGTAGAAGCTGCCGTAGCTGTAGTCGAGGTAGTATTAGGCAGGTATGAGTAGGTGAAGTGGTGGTGGTAATAGTTATACATGAATAGTATTTTATTACTAATAAATAGTAATAATATGAATTGAAAGTAGTGAATAGGGTTAGTATTATGAAGGGTAAGAAGCCACAGCATTGCAAGAAAGGCAAGAAGGAACAAGACCACTCATACTTATGATAATATACCACACGAAAAACATGTACTGTACTCGAAATATAATAATTCGTCTATATTTTTGTTTGTGTGTGGGTGTGTTGGCAGGTGGGAGAGAGAGAGAGAGAATGATCTGGTCTTCTCACGACGATAATGACGGCAGCAGAGACGTGAGATGACACACACACACACACACACACACACACACACACACACACACACACACACACACACACACACACACACACACACACACACACACGAAACTGTCTCTCGTACACTGTCTCGGGGCTGCAATAATTAGTTAAATCATATGAACACATACCGTAGACTTCCATTCCACTATGCCTGAAGATATTTTGTTTTCTTTTAATACCAATGTTATTTTATTCAGTCTGGTGTTCTTGAGGATATCGTCATAATGCATCTAAAGTGTGCCAGTGGAGGCTAGTGGCCTCCAGTCATAAAATAACACTTGTATTATCTAATGGTCAGTAAAATATGACAATATTGATGTGAAAATCCGTAGGTGCCCTTATCTTGAGATGATTTCGGGGCTTTTTAGTGTCCCCGCGGCCCGGTCCTCGACCAGGCCTCCACCCCCAGGAAGCAGCCCGTGACAGCTGGCTAACACCCAGGTACCTATTTTACTGCTAGGTAACAGGGGCATAGGGTGAAAGAAACTCTGCCCATTGTTTCTCGCCGGCGCCTGGGATCGAACCCAGGACCACAGGATCACAAGTCCAGCGTGCTGTCCGCTCGGCCGACCGGCTCCCCTGAAGTGGATTCGAATCTATGCGCTCGGTATTCCCAAGTACACGTCCCGGGCAATCAGGTCAATACATGGTTAAAAGGGTTAGTAACCTAAGCTAATCTCCAAGTACCCAGCCTCGCCTCCAAGTACCCAGCCTCGCCTCCAAGTACCCAGCCTCGCCTCCAAGTACCCAGCCTCACCTCCAAGTACGCAGCCTCGCCTCGTGTACACACTAGTCAGGTGGCCGATAATGATGTTTGCGTGATGGAAGCTTCCGGCTGCCTGCTCCCCAGGCCCCAGGCCGCCCCAGCCCGCCCCACACTCCCGCCGAAGACTCACCAGCTGCAGGAAGATGTCACCGACGCAGATGCTGGCGTCTCGGGACTCGATGCGCTGCTTGAGCTGTTCCAGGAAGTGTTCGTGGTAGCCGTAGATCTCCGGCACCTGCGGACAACCACAACAGCCTAGTTAGTCATGCAATACTCGAGGCAGACTCCAGGTACATAGAGGATAAAAGGAAAACACAAGTACTGTAATACAATGTTCCTGTTGGACTAGAGAGCTAACTTATGTAAGAAATTATATTGTTATCATAAATAATTGTTAGTTTTATCAATTTTTACATGATGTTCATTCAAAACCAGAATTTTCTCTAATTAATATTATAATATATTAGCATATTGTGCATATATAGGCATAGGTTAGGTTAGGTGTTTAGGTTCTGTTGGCGATTATTTGTATTTGTAGTACGTGGGTGAAGCATTTACAGCGTTGTGGTTCGAACAAAATTCGTCAGCGAAGCACTTGTTCCGGAAGCACTTGTTCCGGACAACGTCATCAGTTGTGAGTCGTGCGCAAACCAATTTTCATTCAGAACAGCTGGGGGGTTTGGCGGGTGGATGGAATGACCTTTGGCCCTTGTTTATGATGGCGGGCTGCACAGTTTACAGGTGGTTTACCAGAAAGTGTACCAATACAATTAGTGTAATAAGAGCTGGAGTTTGGCGGGTGTATGGAGTCACTATTGGGTCTTTGGAGGACGGGCTGATAATAGTGTATTTACTGGATTTACTTGAGAACGATCAACTGAATTCATTAGGGTTACAGTAGTGAATATATTGAGTAGCGCAGATGGTGATGGTGATGATAGTGACAGGGGGATGATGAGAGGGAGAGCGGAGGATGAATTAAGGGAAAGAGGAGACTAGAGGGGAATGTAATGGAAGAGAGGGGAGGGGGGTAGAGGTGTAGGAAAAGGGGGGCAGGGAGGGAGAGGGGGGCAGGGAAATAGGGAGGACAAGAGGGAGTGGTGTGGGTAGAGGGAGGCAAGAAACACAACCCCGGGCATCGCCGGGGACCCCCTCTAGTAATAGACATAAATATTGATATATATTTGAGACATCACCTCACTATATCATCACACTACACTATGTGGTGGTGTAGTGTAGGGTGGTGGAGCACTACACCACCACACTACACTACACCACTACACTACACCACCACACTACACCACACCACACTACACCACCACACAACACCACCACACTACACTGCACACACCACACAGCACCACCACACTACACTACACCACTACACTACACCACCACACTGCACCACACCACACTACACCACCACACAACACCACCACCAATAGAGGCGCGGGAGCTCTCAGCTTTAATACAGTGTTTGTTGATTGATGAAAAAGTCAACTGGTGCTTCAGTCAGGAGTGTTGCGGTGACGACCCGTTGGCTGAGAGCCGGAGCTGTGATCTTCACTCTCTTGTGACGCCCACAGTGATCTTCACTCTCCTGTGACGCCCAAAGTGATCTTCACTCTCTTGTGACGCCCACAGTGATCTTCACTCTCCTGTGACGCCCACAGTGATCTTCACTCTCTTGTGACGCCCACAGTGATCTTCACTCTCCTGTGACGCCCACAGTGATCTTCACTCTCCTGTGACCCCCACAGTGATCTTCACTCTCCTGTGACGCCCACAGTGATCTTCACTCTCTTGTGACGCCCACAGTGATCTTCACTCTCCTGTGACGCCCACAGTGAATTGTAACGGGGGGTGGGGGAAATAGCTCTATCTTGTCCATTATTCCACCCCCCAGTTAACTAACGAGGCCGGGGGAAACAGCTCTCTCTAGTCCGTTATCCCGTCCCCAGTTAGCTAACTATTCTAGAGCACCCTCCAGAGTTCCTAAGGCAACCTCTCTCGTTCAACACCTTGTACCCTAGGTATTTGACTACCTAGGTGCTAAGACTACAAGGCGCCGTCACTTGATCAGTTACCCGAAACTCTAGAGAGAACTCTAGAATACCTAATCATTGCCACAAACGTATAAGAGAAAACGAAAGGAAAGAAATGAATAGTGAAGTAATTAGTGAGGATTTGGGGTGAGAGGGAGAGAGGTGGGAGGAGCGAGGATGGTCATTAGTTGAAAGTGAGAGTTTAGAGAAGGGTGGAGGGAGAGGTGTAGATAGGTAGATGTAGAAGAGTAGATAGAAGAAGTAGAAGAGTAGATAGTAGAAGACGAAATGCTGCCACCATCCATTCATGATCATTACATACAAGACAAGGAATGGAACTTGCCTGTATCAAAATATTCTCAAAAGATGTTATTACCATGTATCAACTCCAAACATGTACTCATTAAATCATGAAACCAGTAATCACAGAGGCTTTCTCACCTCAACTCAAAACTCTAAGGAACACAGTGAAAGACCATTTAAATAATAAATTCAACAATTATATTTTTCATGATAAGTATCATAACTTAAGCAATCCAATTAAAATGTTAACGATTAATATTCAAAGTGAGTCATCATCCAAGAATTCGAGAACCCTACAACTTGACTGCCCCTGATCATCACACAACATATGTAAACACGACCAAGTCACCTTAATGTTCACTCACCGAGGACTGAGTCTAAGTTGAATAGAGAGGGGGGGGGGGGGGGTCTGTAGTTGACAGAGACTCCCGCCCTGCCGGCCGACAGCCTCCCTGGTAGGGCTGTCTTCTCTCTCTGCTGGCTCGTGTGCTGTTCTGTCTCGTTAATGCTTCATGCTGGATAGCTCTCCGAGTTTATATTGGGGAACCTAGTAGCTAACTCCGCCCACAAGTAGATAGCCTCCGGCACTCTACCAAGCCACTCCTTAACCGTCGGCATGTTTGAAGGCTACCCGGCTCCAATTAAGAGCTTAGCGGAAGCAAGGTGAAATTCTCATGATCTGACCTCAGGTCACTTGGGGTCGTTAACGGTTAGAGGTGTGAGATCTCAGGCAGACAACTGGCGCCTCTCCGATCCTTGTCTGTGACTCATGTACTCTATGTATGTATTAACCTAAACCAAACACTTTTACAGTGTTACATCTCCCCTTCTCCCCGAAAATAAAGTTTTTGCAACACTGCTAAAGCAAGCTAGCTGTGTGCGACAACTTTATTAACGAAAAGAATACATCCTAGCTAAACAAATATACATCATCCTATTCTAAAAAATGAAATATGTAGACAGACGTCCATTGTCTCTGGCTGGGCGACGTCACTGCTTGGTCTTGTAGATAATCCTGTACCACATTTCTTCAACACAACTGCCTCCGTCGCTTCTCCGTCGTTAACGCACAACAACCCTTGGTCAACCCGAAAGCCGTTACTACTTGAACTGCGCACAGGACCGTGGAATTCGGTTGTCCCAGCTGATCTGTAATTGGCCCTACGTCAGTCACCATGAGAGACGTATATTGGGGTTCTTCACAGCTATAGGGACTACAAGTTTCGAGACCTTCATATAGTTGCCAACAGTAGAAATCCCATCCTACTCTTCTTCCTCCCTGTTGCTCCAGCACGCCTCCTTCAGAGAGCCACTTTTGACAGCCACATCAAGTCCGCACGACACAGGAAGAATCATTCAACAGAGCAACATGCTTGCAGGAGGGGCGGCCAGTTAAGGCAAACGATCCTGTCTTGCAATTACGCTCCATGCAATGATGCTGACACCAGCAAGGGACACTAGGTATCGTGTCTCAGCTTGTCTTATCTTCTTCTTTCTTCTCTCTTCTTTTTTCTCTCTTCTTTCTTCTCTCTTCTTTCTTCTCTCTTCTTTCTTCTCTCTTCCTCCTCCCATGGGTCTTTGACAAGCGACCTGGGGTCCATTGGGGTCCGTCCGTCCTGGGGTCCATCCTGGGTAGACCGATGTTGGTGGGACAGACTGGAGTCGTTGTTGTTCCTCTTCCATCTTTACTGGGTCGTCTGGGGACGTCTGCAGAACGACCTGGGGTCCACTGGGGGTCCGTCCGTCTTGGGGTCCACTGGGGTCCGTCCGTCCTGGGGTCCACTGGGTAGACCAATGTTGACCGACCGAGAGGGCTGCATCTTGGGGTCCCCTGGGGTGGTGATGGTGATGGAGCCATGACCTCCAGGTAGTGGGCTGGTCGTGGTGGTGGTGATAAACGCCCGTGAGTATGGTACACAGCAGCCGTCTCCCTCTTTTGTATGTGCGTCTCTCCTCTCTTCTGGCTCCCACCTGTGGGTGAACAGAAAGGCGACAATATCGTGCTCCCAAGATATGTTATGTGACCCTGTAGTTTGTATAGGGTTACACAGTCCAGTCATACCGCTCTCCTCCTGGCAACGACTACACTTAAATTTAAATAATCCAATTGACACTGAATGATATTGACTTGGTGGAACATAAAACAGTAACAGAGTAAAGTTAGAGAAGAGAGAATAAGGGCATCACTACTTTTAACTTGTCACACAAAAAAAAAATCAACACTAATAGACAAACACTAGCCTAACTTAACTGTACCTTTCCTAATCTTAAGTACATAATTAACCGTTACTCCCACCCTTAACCTACAGCCACCTACGTGACCCAGAGTGTCTCCCTAGCTTCTCCGCCGGTCAACATTGGTCTACCCATTGGACCCCAAGACGGACGGACCCCAGCGGACCCCCAGTGGACCCCAGGTCGTTCTGCAGACGACCCCAGACGACCCAGTAAAGATGGAAGAGGAGCAACAACGACTCCAGTCTGTCCCACCAACATCGGTCTACCCAGGATGGACCCCAGGACGGACAGACCCCAATGGACCCCAGGTCGCTTGTCAAAGACCCATGGGAGAAAGAAGAGAGAAGAAAGAAGGGAGAAGAAAGAAGAGAGAAGAAGGAAGAGAGAAGAAGGAAGAGAGAAGAAAGAAGAAAGAAGAAAGAAGAAGAAGAAGATAAGACAAGCTGAGTGAGACACGATGCCTCGTGTCCCTTGCTGGCGTCAGCATCATTGCATAGAGCTATTTCCCCCACCCCCCGTTACAATGTTGGCAGCGGTGTTGAACAATGTTGTAGGTAGTTGGTGTTCTTTTAACATTGTTCAGTCCCACGTGTCTTTTTGCCGCTCAGGCGCTATCAGGGAGATCTTGACAGGTGTTTTACTTTCGCGA